CGTTATGTGTCATGTAAGGGTGTGATACCCTGTTGAACCATGTCATGTAACCCTCCATATAAGACCACTCACATGTGACTGCCTAACTCTGATACTCCTTTCGTACCAAATGACTCTCAAAATCAGCCAGAATGTCATCCAGGTGTCTACGAACAATAGTGATGGGAGAATCCTGCAAGGGGGACCTCGAAATAATCTAGACGTACCCAAAACTGCCACATGCACCACTCGAGAAAATACCTGTACATGATGTTGATCCCACAGGCCAACCATCCAGAATATAAGGAAATGGGGTTGAATGGACCTATGTCCTAGTGAGCACCGCATGGCTTCCATCATATGTCGTCATGTTGAGTCTGGTCGATATACATACAGTACGACAAGATATGATCATTCCCTCTGCTACGGACAAATTGGCAAGCATATGGCCAATCATGAGTATATAATGGGTCATGATAAAACCCTTGGATGCGGTGATAGTAAGCAAATATTTGTCCCTGAAAACGAATAAGAAAGAAAAGTATTGGTAAAAACTGTGAAAAAATATTAGTTTGTAACTTAATAGTGTAATTTGGAAGTTACTGTAAGAAAGGTGTATGAGCATGTCATCTGCTTCGTCGTCCATTTGCAACCTTCGTTCAGGTTAGAGTACATGTAAACCAAGCTTGTTGCCCCCTAATTTCACTCGTTAATGGTCTCCAAGTCGATGAAATATATAAGTAGGCCACATCAGCGCGATTTTAACTTTTGTCCACAAACATGGGCGTGCCAACCAAGAATAAGAAGTAACACCTCAAAGCAAACTCCCAATAGTAGGAAATCCATAAATCATTAGTGTCCGGGTGATCGACTATCTCCAAAATTTTGTTATACAAGTCTGACAACCAAGCAAACTTGGCATGTGCACCCATGGTGCTTCTAGACTGCTCAAAAGCTTTTGTAAGGTCAGCTCCCAAATAAACCTACATCATCTACTGTGCCTCATCCTGACTGATCTTAGAATGATCAAACAACCTTCCTCTGATGGGAGGTGTAGGAGGCATGCTACATCATCTAGCAGAATATTCATCTCACCAATGGGCATATGGAAAGATGAGGTCTCACTGTACCACCTCTTAGCAAATGCATCCTGCATGCCATGGATGATGTTGGTGTACTATGTAGCATAAAGACCGATTATCCCGGAGTTCTGGAGTATATTTTGGAACCAGGCTTCCTCGAGCTGGTAAAGACCGTGGATCTTTCTTGCATGATTCACACATTTTAGACAGTCACACTTCTATTGAAAATAGAACATAACATGATCAATTAAGTTGAATTTGGATAAAAATAAAAATATAGGCAGTTCTAAAAATGTGCCCCTCCTTCCTAGACATGTGAAGCCACATTCTCTCTAATGTATATGAGTAAAGACGTGTTAGTGGGCCCTCCTGGAAACAAGTCTGCAAGGGAGCATCCTCAATAAGCCACACTTGGGGTAAATGGGTCGTCCTCGTCATGGTGCGCACCAATCTAGGATCCTGATACCCATGATAGTTGACTACTCCTAGAGCCTGATGCCTCCCTATCGTGAGGCTGAGATGGGATGACTCTAGCCTATTTGTGTCGACGAGCCCTCTTGTAACACCCAAAGTCTCAATCTTTCTTAATTTTTAGCCATCCTGGAAAAAAACATAACAAAAATAAGAGGAAGTAACGAGTTCAGATATGCATATCCAAAAATCTGGAACAACATAGTTTGTATATGCATATCCGGAAAAAAAATTCGACAACCTCAATGTCATAATTGTTTCTACAACTGCCGCAACTCATCCAAACCAAATCGAACTCATCCAAATCGTATAAACAGAGTCTCCAAACTTGTACACTAACTTATTTGAGCTATCTAATGCATTAAAACTAGTACACTTGAGCTAATACATTAATAAAAAATCAAAATAAATTAAATGAAAAACTTACTCTTAAATGTGTCGGTGAGGGTGTAGAATATTCTGATGTTGAATGCAGTAGGTAGAAGGAGTTGAGAATGATAAGAAACATAGGAATCATCTTCAAACTTGATCTTGATGGTATACTACAAAATAGATTGAGAGGGAGGTAGAAAGTAACTTTATCTTTTCTGAAAAATGATGAAGGAAGGAGAAGAGACGCGAACTTTGAATAAGTCCATCTTGTTCGGAGATGCATCTCTGAACTAGTTTTTTTACCTAAAAAATGTGTTTTCAACAATGCAACTCCAAACAAACCATGAAGTTGACTTCAGTTATGCATCTTCGAATTTCATTTTCAGAAAAATGTATTTTGGTGCGTCCGGAGATGCATCTCCGAAAATAGTGGATATTTTGGGAAATTCGTGAAGGGCCAGAGAGAAGTAGAAAGAGTTTAAAGAGAAATTGCCAAATTATAAGGTTTGTGGGTCGGTCTGATAGATCAGGTCAATTTTAATAGTTCTTATAGTTCTATTCGGTTGTAGCAGTTGTAGAGATTGAAAAAGAAAAAAAAAGATAGAACTTATATTATCATTGAGCCAATTTTAACTGTTTTAATAGTTATATCTAGGGATGTCAACTTGCCCCATTAGCGGAGATCCCCGCGGGGATTTCCCGTTTGAGGCCCCAAAGACGGGGAATTTTTTCCTCACAGGGACATGGATGGGAAACAAAGTCTCCCCGAAGGCACTTCTAGGACGGGGGTGGCGTAAATCCCCTGTCCCGTGGAGTCCCTGTCCCGCCTAAAATACCATAATAAATATAATTTATATATAATTTTAAATTTTTATGTAGGTTTATTTGTCATTTCATATAATTTATCTTATAAACAAAATTAAAATATAAATATATTGTTAGTAAAAGAGTGAGATATAAATGATTATTTTAAAAATTTTAAGTTTGAAATTTCGGTGGTTATGACACTCAATATTATAGATTAAATATTGTTAAAACAATATATTTATCATAAAGGAATAATTTCTAAATTTTGTTGTGGTTAGTTTTTGAAATTTTTACTATTAATTTGGTTTAAAATAATAAATAAAGATAATCATGTTTATGGATCTCCATATGAATGTTGGGGATCCGTGGGGATCCGCGGGAACGGAGATGAGGGACAAAATCTCCTATGATGGAACCCGAGACGCGAACAGAGAATAGATTCGAGGACGGGGATTGAGATGAGAATGTATCCCCGCCCCCGTCCCACCCCATTGACATCCCTAGTTATATCCGGTTGTAGCAGCTTCGAAAAAGAAGAAAGACAAAACTTCTATTATCTTTTCCTCCATTCGTTCTTTTTTAAATGTCAATTTTGAAATAATTTTTTGTTTCTTTTTAAGTGTGGTTTACAAAATTCAAGGTAGTATTAATTGTACTTTTGTCAAAATTATTCCTGATTATTTATCGTAGAAAGAGAAAAACTCAAATGCATGTGACAAATAATTAAGGATATTATAAGTAAAATAAAACTTATTGTTTAAAAAGTAACAATAATAGTTATCTTTTTTGGTATGTGAAAAAAATTTAAAAGTGACAATTATAAAGGAACCGAAGGAATATTTACTTAGTATTTAAATTAATTTTTGATAATTATCTCGATTATATAAATTAAATTCGAATAAATGAATCTATATATAAAAACAAGAGATTAAATGTAATGCATTAACATCATAAAGTAGTTTTATAGTAAAAATTCATCAATTAATCATATCACACCACTAGGGATGTCAACGGGGCAGAGAATATTCAGAGGATACTTTCTCGCTCCCATCCCGCCCTCAAATTTATCCTCCATCCCCGTCCCCAATCTCCGTCACGGAGGAATATTTTCCCCATCCCCATCCCCACAGATCCCCACGAAGATCTACAGAGATCGAATCTTAAAAAATTTCTCTCATTTTTGATCAAAACTATGACACTAGTATTTTGTTGTTTTTTCCTTTAAAAAAACACATATTTTGCATCTTTCTTTTTTCTTAAAATAAAAATACATCTTGCATCAATAACAAAAAAAACACTTGATGTTGCTAATACTTTTTTGTAAAAAGATAATAAAAAAATATTAACTCAACTTGTTACTACCATGCTTCCGCTAATTTACTACCACAACATCGCTGTCATTCACTGCAAGTGGTTGATTATGTGTGAGTGAAAAATCCATAACTTCTAATTTATTAATTGAATGAAAAAATATGTTACTAATGGAAGTAAAGTGAATTTGAAGAGTGATTACCATAAGCACAATGAACAAATGAGGATGATTGTTGTGATGATGATGAGAACAAAGGAGATGATGAATGGATGGGACAAAGATAATTGAAAAAAGAAAAGCAAGAGACCGTGTATATTCTATGTATTGGATGCACTTTTCTTGAATTGGGTACTTAGATGATAAAACAATACATTATATAATAAAACATAAAAATAAAATGATTTACTAAGTACTCTTCATTTTCTAATACATTAATATTTTTATATATAAAATTATATAATTGTAGATTATATAATATATAAAATATAAAAGTTAAATAATATGTTCGGAATCGGGAAATCTACGGGGCGGAAAGTACTTTTTCAATCTCCGTCTCAAAATGTTATCGATTGAATTTTTTTTCTCTATCCCCATTCTCACCATAAAAAAATCTCCAATTTCAATACTCCAAACAAATAATTCTCCTAAAGATTTCCGTTAGCATATACAGCTTGAAATCTCTACATATTACTTATTAAAAATATTAATATAATTAAATTAAATACATAATGATGATTGATTAAACAATGTAAAATTATTTTATATTATCCATATATATATTTTTCTTTAAAAATAAAAGAAATAAAATGAGAAAGCCTAAATAGAGTAAAGGTGAAAAAATAGTTGAGGTCCTCCATTCCACAAAGTTCATAGTCCACATTCAAACAATTCATCTAACTTCAACTGCTGAAATTTAAGTATTCTCATACAACACTCCCGACAAAACAAGAAACAAAACATCATCATTAACAATAGAAATGCTGGAATGTCTCTCCTTCAACACGTTGACTCCTTCCGCACGCAACCCCCCTCCTCCCCTCTCTCCATATTCACAAGGTAACAATTTCACTAAACCCTAACCTTTCTATTTCACTCCCTCTACCTGTTTGTAAAAATGTCTCACTCAATCCCTCTTTCCGTTTCCAGCAAACTCAACCCAAGAATCATCAAGCCCAAATGTCTCTCGCGAATTCGATCGCGCCATTCAAGCCCCCTCCTACAACGATATCCGCACCATGATCCAAACCCCTCCTCAACCACACCACATCGAAATTCAACAAGTTAATAACGAAGATAACACCCAAGAACAAGATGAAGATTCCCACCACCGCGATATCCTCACCCAAGTTCTTCAACCCAACCCCAACAGCGTCCGTGAAACCCTCGCTAAATCTAAACCCGAAAGCGCCCTCACCCTCCTCGTTTCTTCTTACTTTGATCATAGTGAAACAACTTCCCACCGTTGCCTAACCCTCGTCCGTACCGTCCACCGTGCTCGCGAAATGTATAACCCTCTCTCCAAACTTCTCTCCGAACTCCCCTCCGATAGCTCCTCCCTCTCTCAACCGCAATGCGACACTGCTTACGATCTCTTCATCCAGTTCAATCTCCACGAAAATCCTTTCGTTTTCCCTTACTTTCATACCATCCGCGACAGTTTCTCCGACCTTAAACATCAAATTCAACTCGACCGTAGGAAATGCCATCACAGAATCCGTCTCTTCCGTAACGCCACAATTGGATGCGCTATCTGCGGCCTCGCTACTGTATCGATAGCCGTGATTACTGCTGTAATTGTTGCCACGCATGCTTCTATTGGATTTGCGGCAACGATACCATTATTTTGTATTCCTTTTCAGAAGAGAAGAAAGAGGAAGGCTTTAGCTAGGTTGAAGCAGCTTGATGCTGCAGAGAGTGGAACTTTTGTTGTGAATCATGTGAATACCATTGATAGTCTTGTGGATCGTCTTCAAACTGTGGTGGAAAGCGATAAGGCTAACATGCGATTTGCGTTGGAGAAGGGGAGAGATAGGCATCCTATACAGGAAGTGATCAAGGAGCTTCGCAAGAGGCAGCCGGTTTTTGAACAGTTGCTTAAAGATCTTGAGCAACATATATATCTATGTTTTGATACTGTTAACAAAGCTAGAGGTGCACTCCTCAATGAGATATCAATTCATCAAGCTGAGTAATGAGTTAGTTTTCCAATGTAAATTTAAGGTATGATTTTTGAGATTTTCTCTACTTGACTCACTATAGGTCTTACTATTTTCTAGACCCTGATATGATGATACTCTTCTAAGGTTTCATTAGATAATTACTGTTGATTTGTGATGCATGCAATTTGTTTAAGCTTGCACCTCTGATCAACAATTGAAATTATAGCATAAGCTTCATTTGAAATTTGTAACGATGTAGGATAATATGTATAGATTGACATGCTTTGATGATATAAAGAACCATGTAACGTTTTCACCTTTTGATTAATTCATGTTTGAAATTGAACGACATGCTAACTTCTGTTAATAAACATTAAGTTTTATATCTTGCATTTTATTGTATAGGGTCAATATTTTAGTACGAGAGTGTGACTGTGCTATCTGGGATGGTACATAATCATAGTTATGTATCATGAATTCTTGATGCAATGAATGGTGTTATGTAAAACTGCAGTTTTATCATTTAATGGCTCTGTCTTTAATATTAATGATGGAGTTTGTTTGCATTTTTACCTTTCCAAGTAGTGTTTTGTAATGATGCATTGAATTGTTTCTGATAGTAAAACTTGTTATTTACTTTTCTGTCACTGGGTGCCAACATCTGCTTCAATGTGCACGCAAGACCAATTTCAGATTTGGATTTTGCGGGTTTAATTAGGGTAATCTCCGTTTGTCCAGCCCAACAACATCTGTTACTGGAGATTTCATTTTTCTAGAGTAGACTTGTATAGTTTTTATTAAGGAAACATGCTACTCTGCACATCTTGACTTGAAATTGTCTTAATATTTAATAAGCATTTAGCCGTAGATGGAGGATCAAGTCATCTAGTTTTGTGGCACTTTATTTGCCTGTCTTTCATATGAATTCTTCGGAAGATGTTTGCAAACATTAACAACATCCAATGTTGGAAGACTGCTATAAAAAAGTAATGGTGTTTGCATATCGGGTGAGTCAAAAGTTCATTCGAGCTTAAGATTAATATAAGATGTTCAAGTTTCAACCCCTTCATTCATTTTGCTGCATTGGGAACACCGTACTTAGTTAAACCTAAAATACCAAAACCTAAAATTCCAGCTAATTTAAACCACTCACATCTGAAATCCATGTTGGGAGGTGAGGAAAGGAAAGTTTCTCCCATATTTCGGATGGGGACTGTGATGTTTCACTTCTATTGGATGGATGAGATTTTAGGGAATTTCTTAATCTACCCCCGTAGTTTTCTAGCACACCACGCGAAAATATAAAACTACTTCTGAAAAATTGAAAATGTATTTTCGGTACACACCAAATAGTTGGATGGATGAGATTTTGGTGGAAGAGACCCTATGTAATAGTTGAGAACTGACTGGAAATACAATTACTGGTGGAACTGTAATTGTATTTTTGGAAGCACACCAAATACACATAATTGTTAAGACCGAGAAACTCAAGCTAACAGGCAGACACGAATCGGAAATGCATTTGCGGTTGGGACCATAATTGTATTTCCGGTTCATGTTGACACTTAAATGCGCATTGTCTCTTCCTCTTCCTCATTTTTAGAAACATTTTGAAAACAAAAACACTCAACACACAAAACCAAACCCTTTCAAACCCCATCGTATCAAAATCAATCCATTTTGCGAAAAGCTCATCAGGAATCGTCAAACATCATATAAACTTCAACGTTGAAGCAGATTCAAGCAAGAAAAATCATCACTTGAAAGTTGTTTTTGTGATTTTTGGAGTTTATGTAATTTAACCTACAAATTGTGTTTTAGGGTAGAAAATTCAATTTTGTTAGTGTTTGCAATGTTAGGAGTCATAAGAAACGTATTAGATACAATTTTTTTTACGATCAATGATCATTTTTTTTGTCATTGGGCTGAGCTTCGCCATTGACAAAGCCGAAATGTTGTCGGTTGTACCAGAGATGCATTTTCGGCTTTTATCAATGTTTAGTCCAAAATCGAAAATGCATATTCGATTTTATTCAGTATGCATTTTTTCATTTTTTAAAATCTAAGTCTTACTGTTAACGTTTGTTTCGTTCTTCTACAGGAGTAATGGTTGAGAGACCATCTAGGTTGCGGCACGACAGGCTTGCACAACATGCTTTTGTGCGGAGAGAAAAGAGTCGGGCATCTCAGGCTCCTTCTACCTCTAGACAGGCTGTGCTGGATGCGCCTACAGCCTTCAGTGTTCGTGTTTCTACACCTACTTCATCGCCCTCCCGCAACAGGCGAGGTTCTCCAATTCATCCCTCTCCGTCCTCCCATAGACGAACTTCTTCACCGATGATATTTGAGACAGGAGAGACATCCGATTCCCAATTAACATTGGAGGCCAAACAACCGTCACCCGAGGCCCAACCAACTGAGGCAACACATGAGGCCCAGCCAGCTGAGGCGACACCTGAGGCCCAGCCAATTGAGGCGGCACCTGCGGTGCCTTAGGGTTTTGGAGGAGGGCCTGCTGATTTATCATTGTTGCCTCTGTACCCGGACAACGTTGCTAGATATATCTAGGAGGAGAGGTATGAGTTTTGAATTGTTCTATCAATTTTTTGTTAAATTTATGTTATTATCAATTTTTTTTGTTAAATAAATTTTGTTAAACCATGTTTCCAGGAACGTGATCCACTGAAGACCATTAATCACGCGAGGAAGATCATTAAACTGGTATCTTCCCATAAGCCATGATTTCAGGAGCTCTTGATGCTTCCAGGGTTAAAAGACTTGACCCTATGTGGATATACTACCGTTAATCATAGTATGATTAACGTTTTTGTTGAGAGATGGCACCATGAGATGTCATCGTTCCATCTACCACATGGTGAGATGACGATTACACTGGACGACGTCGCGTGTCTGCTGTATCTTCCGATAAGAGGGAAGTTTTTAGACCATGATCAGTGCGACAAAGAGGGGGTGTTGGAGTTGTTGGTAGAGAGTTTGGGAGTTTGGGAGTTACCCCTGAGAGTGGTAATCACGTAGGATTTAGTTAATTGAAAAAGGTGTTCACGGCTGAGCTACAACATGCACGACAGGCTGATGGTGATTTCGAGCAGGTAGCCCATCACCGGAGGTGTGTTATGAGAGCATACCTTTTGTATCTGGTTGACACGACCATTTTTGTGGACACTAGTGCCACTTACACTGATGTCATGTACATGTGGTACTTTGACGGTTTTGAGCAGATCCATGAGTGGAATTGGGGGCTGCTTGTTTGATGTACTTGTATTATAAGCTGTCAGAAGGATGTAAGTGGAAGACGAAGCAGATGATCGATAACATCACACTCATGACGGTGAAATCTATTGGTATTATTTTGTTTGTGTGTCATTTTGTTAATTATTGTTATTCTGTTACTAACTAATAATTCTTGTTATTCCAGGTCTGGATCTTACAACACTTCCATCGCATCTCAGGTTGGTCACTTCATCGAGTTTTACTGAAGAAAGGTCGTGTGCCGCTGCATTCGACCCGTTCCAAAGGAATCGGGCGACATAGTCGTTCCGGGTGTATATTGATCGGTTGGTGTTTGAGGATATACACTTCCATATCTACGTCGACCACTATGTCACAATTCCATTTGACGACGTTATAATGTGTATTCTGGATGGTTGGCTTGTGGGTCGCGCAATACTGGTTCTCATCTACCTAAGTGTGTTATGTGTCAGTTCGGGCACATGCAATAAATTCCCCAGGATCCTGTTGTGTATGCTCTTTTCCTGGTGAAACAGAGGGATATGAGTGTCTTGTTTGATGATTATGTTAATTATCTTGTGTCAGATGAGGCCCAAAGTACCTTAGCACCAGGCGACTAGAGCTACGTGGATGGTTATATTATATGATTCTTCAGGGTGTGCCAACCATATATAGTACATGATGTTCCAGGAAATCTAGTGAGGTCAGCTCATCAGGAGATTCTAGAGGAGGAGCAGGTTGAGGCCGATCATGCCACTGATGTGTTGCTTAGTTATCGTTGTATCATGGACATTGCACATGCGGGTATTGGTGGAGGTCTGTTTTCCGATGCCTCTGATGTTATAGGTGTTCTAGATGCCATCATGGCGGAGGCTCACGAGGCTCTGCGGTACAGGAGGCAGTAGAGGAACACCAGGAGAGTGATGAGCCGACTCATAGTTTGCCATACCCAATAGTCTTCTTCGTTGTGGTATATGTATTTTGGTTTGATAATAATTTGTTTATCGATTTTTAGATTGTATTTGGATAATATTTTGGGTTATCGCCTTTATCGACTTCAAACACCTTTTGTATTATTTTGTTCTATATGTCTTTATATTCATTTTGTAGTTTCTAACAACATGCAGAACAATTTGAAAAATGCCTATTGCATGCAGAACTTTTCTACTACTGTCTGCATAGAAACCGAAAATGCAGTTACGGTTCCATCCTGTAATTACATTTCCAGTTTTAACTAGTGTTCAACAAAAAAAGATGCGTTTCAGAAATATATTTTTGGTTACGTAGGGTGTTGTACCCTAAAATTTACCCTCTCATTTATCAAGGTTTTTCTCACAAGACTTCTGAGACTCAAGACAAGACTAGGGTTTGGTCAGCTCAAGACACCTCATCTTGCACTGATAACTTAAAATTAGGGTTTGAGTTTGCACAAGGATTTTTGGACCATCAATGCTTCACGTGACTTTCATACATCATCTTGGACCCCTAAGATTGCTCATGTTAAGTTTCAAGTCTTGAACCACATTTTTGATCAGTCAATTGGACAGTTGACCTAAAAATCAACTATATTAGGGAAAAGGTCAACCATGGCCAATTTACAGTCAAACTTCATAATTTTTTATCCACATCAACATTTTAGACTCATATGTACCATTTGATCAAGTTTGGATCACAACTCCTCAAGAAATTTGATCAAATCATCAAAAGGTCAAAATGGTCAAAATTAGGGTTTTGACTGAGAAAGGGCAATTTCTGATTTTTAACTTAGTCAATGACCAATTGGG